CCGTGCAGCTTTCGCCCTGCAGGTGTGAGGCCAAGGCTGCAGCTCCAGTGCTGCACTGCCTTGGGCAAATCCTGCAGTCAGCAGCCAAGGGGTTGACAGCTGGTGCCGCCAGCAGGCTACTTCACTCTTCTGGTGAGGCATGTTGACGTCACCAGCAGCACTCGTCACGTGTGTCCTGACTGTGCAGCCTCTACCCTGGTTGCAGCTAGCCCTGCGGGTGTGGGGGTTGGGGGTGGGTGTGCTGCAGCACACCCACAGCTGTGCACTGCCTTGGGCAAGTCTGCAGGATGCAGCACTTAGCACCTCATGGCAGACTGCTGCCCAGCCTGCACAATTTTTGCTTGTGGCTCTTGGGGGCGGTTTTGAGACAGCACTCAGCCATGACACAAGCAGGCTCACGCATAAGGGGTTAGTTGCTGGTGGGCTGGGGGCAGTCTTGTCCCATCACACCCACTTATGATGGGACAAACACAAATGAGAGGGGGGGGGTGGTGCAGCCCTCCACAACGCTTGCCCCACCCTGGCATCCATGGGCTTAAACCTACCAGCCCTGCCCAAATAGTCCTAGTACTATCTGCGACCCAGCTGCCTTATGCGGGAGCACGCATGCCAGCAGATGACAATGCATTTTACGGAGGTTTGCAGCGTAGCCACCCAGACTACACGCAGATCGACGACTCCAATTCACGCACCCTGCTTCGACTCATCCTTCCCCTCGTGCGCATCCATGTATTGATGGTTTCCTCTGTATTTGATTGAGCACCAATTGATCCATTATTCTCTTTTCAAGCGGCAGGGTGATGCAAAAACAAAGGTAAGGGCATGCCAACATCCAAGAAAACGATAGAGCACGCCCAGCGTCAATCAGGCTCGCTGTAAGTTGCGTGGGGCCTCACACCACGCGCCACAACGTTTGAAGACCAGCACACGGCGTGCATACGACAATAACGGGTGTATGCAGGCAGTCAGGGCCAGTTTCTGTCTGACCAATCAGTAGTAGGAGGTGCAGCAAGGTGTATAGTCTCAAGCAATTGGGCACTCGGTTGGCGCTAGGCACGGTTTCTGATAATGTCGGCAGCGCACACATCAGGGAACGCAAATACATGTGTTCCAGAATTTGACGAGTGAGTAGGGGCACTGAGGTGAGTACGTTCATTTGGGGCGGTTCTGATCCAAGAGGTATTTGCCGTATGCACCACCCAGCCTTGAATCCACAGTACACAGGCGTGGCAGCAGGGTTGAGGAGGGAAGCTTGTGCAATGCCGCTGGCCAACGTTCAGTCCGGCGCGCTCCACCGCCATAGCCCGCAAACAGGTTCAGAAATTAGACCATGGACGCCTTAGGGGTGGTGGGCGCGTCGCCACGGCCGCCGTCCTTGCTAAGCACAACGCGCACCTCGTCGCTATCAGGCGCAGCGCGGGCCGCGCCTTCACTGCTGCCCCGGCTTCCACAGGCCAGAGTGCAGTCGCGGCGTTTGCCGCCGTCAGGCAGGCCACCGTCGTGCACCACCCAGGTGCGCAGGATCACAATCAGCACGCCAGTGGCGAACATCAGCACGCCCATGATGACTGTGATCCACGTGAAGCCACCCTAATGATAATGCCAGGAGGGGTGAGCCGACAAGAGTTGACTACGTGTAAGCGCCATGGGTACAACTATGACCAGCCCCGTCACAACCCATGTCCAGTCCTAGGTGTTATTATTCACTGTTCAGGGCATCCCCCAAACTTCCCAAACTCCCGCACAATCGCATAAATCACAAGCCCCATGCTTCAACACTCACAAATGTTGACATGAGCCGGCCCGTCAGCAAGGGCCCAATAACTCCACCGAGCACGCTGAAGCTGGAGTACAGGGGCATGGCTACCACCTGCTCAGGACCCTTGCAAAGGCGGCCCACAAGGGCGATCGCCGGCCCGTTGGCAGCAGCACCAACGCCAAGGCTGAGAGACAGTGAGAGGAATCCAGCCCAAGCAGCTGCCTTGGCCAGTGGCGGAAACAGCGCAAGGATGACACCAGCCAGCAGCAGGCACGAAGAGACGTGCCAAAAGTGCTCGTCGCGGCGCTGCGCGCTGTGCGCCACAAAGTAGCTGGATATCGATGCCAGCGTGTACGGCACCACCGCCAGCGCGACAGGAAGCAGGCTGTCATTGCCCTTTGCGGCCGCCACGCTGGCGCTGTTGCTTAGCGCCGTGCCATTGAGCAGGCTGTTGATGATGATTGGCGCTGCGAGGTTGCAGAATGACAAGCACGGGCGTGCTTTCAGAGCCTGACCCCTGATCCCCAGGCTCAGCCGTGTTGCTGGGGGTGATTTGCAAAACAAGCATACGCCGTGGTCTACACAACAGATCCCCTCAGAGTCTAGCTTTCAGTTGACTCACTGTATGCGAGGTAGGTGTGGGACGCGACCGATGCCAGCATGGCGCAAGTGAATACAACCCACATGTAGCCGTTGTTGATGACAGCACGCAGCAGCAGCGCGGCGCCCCTCAAGTCCTTAGCCAGAGGGCCCGGCGCATGGTCACGCGCCACCTCGGTGGTCAGCGCGTCGCGCTCTGCCGGAGTCAGGAAGCGCGCCGCATCTATGGAACCAGGCAGGACACAGAAGACCAGGGCGCCCAGCAGGATGGAGGGGATGCCCTCCATCATGAACAGCCATTGCCAACCCCTGGGAACAAAAGGGAAGGAAGACATTGTACAAGCCATCGGCGCGGCTCTGTCCCAAGGAGGTTGTTGAAAGCACTCGCGGGTGCACTCTCGAGCGGTCAATCATTCAAACAGTGAACGACCACACAGCGCCTGGGGGCCATGGCGCCTCAAATCACCCTTCTGAGTCCACCTTGCTTACTTAAGACCACCCCGGCCGTTGAGCGCCAGCAACCCAGCCGCCAACGGAGAACCCAACATACTACAGTACGGGCAGGTCAACAGGGTGTTCAGGGGCATGAATTGTGGTCAGCAGCGGTCAACACTGGCAATGGAAGCGGGCACACAACTGCCCATGAACGTGTGTACAGCAGACATCACCGTGCAGACTCAGGCCTGCTGCTCAATCGTGCTGCTCAATCGCCACACAAATGGTGCTGTGCGTGCCAATACACCTGCACTGCGAATTCCCGAGAGTGGAGGGCTGCAACCCACTTGGCAAGCATGATGCCAATCGTAAGGTACGCAAAGGGCTTGGTGATTCTGTCAAGCAGGGGGTTGAACCAGATTGAAGTGAATTGCTTGGGCCAAGTTAGCTCAGCTTGTATGGGCCAAGGTAGCTCAGCATGTACAGCCGCGGCCCCCTTACCCAATTGGTCGACAGAGGAGAACAACCTTTTTTTAACTCATCACCAACCTGCCGGGCGCGTCCCTCCCAATGTACAGCAGCCATGATGCTCTCTGATATGCGGCTTTTTCAGCTGTGCCTGTCCCTTTTCATTCACACGGCCCCCACCCCGTCACAGCCTGGACCGCTCACTTTTGGCGAGGAAAGAAGACTGTGAGGGCGTACCTGCGGCGCAGCGGTTAGGAGTGTCAATCATTAGTCTGAAGGGCAAAACCGGGTGCCAGGTAGGTAGGGGGATCCTCTGGCTGTGTTCACCACCGTTCACTGCGGCGTAGACAGCGACCCCCCCACATGACGACATGAGCCATGCACACGCCACGCAGCCCCAGCACGCCCCCGCGCCGCAGGGCCCCCGTGCCCCGGCCCGCGCGCCCGCACGCCCGCCCGCGCTCCGCCCGCCCTCATGGCCCCTGCGAACGCCCCGAGCGCACTGCGCCCCCGCCCCGCGCGCGCCCGGCATGCCGCATAACACATGCGACAGCCCAAACCCAAGGTTCCCCCCTTCTTAAGGGAAGTACGCGCTGCCTGTTGCCTGCTGCCTGCTGCCTGCTGCCTGCTGCCTGCTAGCAGCTGCCCTTCCGGAACAGCTATGAACGCCTTGTAGTTGTGCTGACCATGACCCTAGCGCTCACCACATGGCTGGGAAGGCCCCGCTTTCGAAGACGCCCAGGAGTACGCGGCACAGGTAGAAGGACCAGGCTGATGAGATGAACATGAAGCTCACAGCAACACAGCCCCATCCCACCAGCAGGAACGCAAGCCATGCCCTGAAGCCAACGCGGACCATCACCAAGTTGCTGGGCACCTGGAGGGGCGATGAAGGCGAGGTGATTCAGAAGAAGCGGCTGCATGCACTTGCCGGCTGCATGCTTTGCGCAAGGTAACGCGCTCAGCACGCATGTCCCACGCACAATGATGATCTGCAGGTGCACTATGCGAACACCCACCTGGAACACGCAAAAACTGACGAAGAACAGCGACTGGCCCAGCGCATAGATCTGGTTGTCAAACCCGTTGTCTCGGTTAAATGACAGCGCTGCATACGCCAGGCTGTGCACAGGTGCCAACAGAAAAAGAAGGGAGGACAGCTGTTGCTCATCATCGTGTATGGACAATGTTGGCTAAACGCGAGTGCTGCGAGCTGCGCTCTGCACCCCTACTTGCGTGCTTGCAGGCACAACCAGGGCTGCCGCTGATCAGCGCTGCAACGCTGCTCAGTGCTGCACGCCTCACCACAAACACTCACTTGCTTCTGTCGAGATGGTTCATGACCGCAATCGCCATGAACAGCGGCATCACCCGCCACGAAACTTTGCGAAGGGCGCTGCTGAGCTCTGGGGAGGCGAACGCGTCTTCGTCCGCCCCCTTCAGCAGCGCCCTGCCGTCCGGGGTGGCAGGGGGCTGGGCAAGCGGCGGCAGGCGGGCTTCCCCATCCTGAGGCTTTGTGACTTTGTCCGCTGCCAGGCCTTCGTTGCAGCCATGGTGGGCCCGCATCGCGTTCGTGGCTCGTGGCTCGAATCCAGGCTCTGAACTGGGTGACCTCTAGAAGCCCAGGCTGTTTGGTACCTGTCGAACGACAGAACTCGCTTCATGTACTTCTCACTCCACGGACATCAAGAAGCACTTCCGTGCGTGGCAGTGCAGTGACACGACTTGGTTACCCAGGCTGTCATTGTATCGAGAGAAGCAAAGACCCAGTGATATTGACAACCATCCTGATTCCTTTAATCTTGATCACTGGCGTGCGCAGATTTCTAAAACTAGTGGACCGAGATCGACCACTCGAGCACCTTGTGAGGCTGAGCTGCAATAATGCTGGGTCGACTCAATCCACAGTATAGATGTAATACACCATGTTGCTCGGGGCAAAATACTTCAAGACGGCGCGCACATGTGGTGCTGCGCGCCAAAGCGGCGGCCGCAGCACCGCAGCCGCAGCAGGTGCGCATGAGCGCCTCGGTTGCCGGGCGAGGGCAGGCCTGGCGCCGCAATGTAAGCACACTTCAGCTAATTTATCAGGCACCTGCCTGCTACACGTCGCAAGGCAAAATGCGCTTGTGCAGCTGCTCGTCTGGGGCAAGCTGTGCCGGACGTCGACGGGCCTTGGCGCATCCCCCTCTCACGTGCCACAGGTGGCAAACCCAAAGGTGTCATATGTGTCACTTGGCTGTGCTAAGAATGTTGTCGATGGTGAGCGTATGGCAATGCGGCGAGAGAAGAGAGTCAGTGTTTGCTTTGCGTAAATGCCCGGGCGCACAGCAGCGACAATGACATGCTGCTGGTGGCCGTCAGCGGCGCACGTGCGGTGTCCCTCCGCGCCCCTTGCCTCTGCATCCCTCTGCTTCGGGACCCTTCTCTATCTGCAGTCCTTCTTTCAACTTACACGCAGTCTTTTCGCACCCCTTTCCCCCATCCCTCACAAACGCAGGCGAGGTGATGCTGGGCGACCTGGTGCGCCAGGGGTTCAGTGTGACGGACGACCACGAGGAGGCGGACGCCGTCATCGTCAACACCTGTGCCTTTGTGGAGGACGCCAAGGCAGAGAGCATCGAGGCCATCATAGAGGCCGCATCACTCAATGAGGACGGCAAGAGGCGACGCGTGGTGGTGACAGGCTGCTTGGCGCAGCGCTACTCAGACAGCCTTGCCGCGGACCTGCCAGAGGCAGACCTGGTTGTGGGGTTCCAGGTGGGCTTTGAAGGCCTCGAGGGGCGGAGGTAATGCAGGACGGGCGGGTACAATGTAAGGCGGTTGCTGTGGGCGGCGGTGGGAATCCACCAAGCTTGCAGCTAGCAGCACATGTGGCGGAAAGGGCCTCCTGTTGATCAATTTCCGCGCCTCTGGCCACCTTGATCATCAAAGTCGTTTCCTCAATCTTGAACGCTCCATTTCTGTCATGGCCTTGCAGAACTATGCCCAGCTGGGGACTAGCATACGTGGTAGCCTCGGCCTCGAGCATCAGCAGCAGCAGCAGCAGGCACTCCCCGGCAGCACGGTGGCGCTGCCGTCTCCGCCACCTATTGATGACCCTTCCTCTGAGCCTGCACTGGTGCCATCGGCGCCGTCCAGCGCCCGCGTGCAAGTCGGCGACTCCACCGTGGCCTTCCGCCCAGAGTGGGACCGCGTGCGGCTCACACCTCGCCACAGTGCCTACCTGCGCGTTGCGGAGGGCTGCAACCATGCCTGCACGTTCTGCTCGATCCCTGGGTTTAGGGGCAAGTTCAGGTCCAAGCCCTGGGCCCCGCTCTTGGAGGAGGCAGAGCGGCTTGTGGCTGGGGGTGCAGTCGAGCTCAACCTGATTGCAGAGGACACTAACCAGTGGGGCCAGGACCGCCGTGATGGGCGCAACCTCGCCACCCTGCTGCGCGAGCTGTCGGTGATTCCCGGGCTGCGCTTCATTCGACTCCTCTACTGCTACCCATCCTACTTCACGGATGAGCTCATAGAGGAGATAGCCAGCAACGAAAAGGTGGCGGGGCACAATATCTGGGGACACGTGGCAGTGCACGCTCGCCTGGATGCCTACAGCCTGCGCCTTGTCCCGCCCCTGTCCTGTGGTCTGCTCCTTACGCGATGCCCGTTTCTTAATTTCCCGCAGTCTCAACTCTTGATCGGGATTCTCAATATACTGCAACGCAACCCCGTCTCATGAACACTGCAGGTGGCCAAGTACATTGATATGCCGCTGCAGCACATAGACAACCTGGTGCTGCTGGCAATGAACAGACCGCCGCGGGAGCACACTGTAGCACTTCTTACAAAGCTCAGGGAGCGCATCCCAGGCCTTGTGCTGCGCACAACATTCATCTCAGGTGGGGGGTATTCTAGTGAGGGATTGTCAAGGGGTTGGGCGAGAGGTAAGAACTGTGTATGGCCACAATGCGCACACACAGCTCCCTGTTCTGCTCGGGCAGAGTTGGTTCGAGGGCCAAAGCCCATGCCAGTTACTCGCATCTTGGCATCCTGTGTGTGCCTAGGCTTCCCTGGCGAGACGCAAGCGCAGCACAACGAGCTTGTGTCATTTGTCAAGTCGTTCAAGTTTGAGCGCATGGGCTGCTTCACCTACTCCGAGGAGGTGCGGCTGCGTCCACTGCATGTTTGTTGGATTGACGGTATTTCTGCGGGGCGGTATTTCTGCTACTATGCGGTGGCATTTTCTGTGCGCGTTCAAGGCTCAGCAGCGCTGCTCTGCCAAGGAATGCCACAATCCAAGGCTTGACGCTGTTGTGGGGTCAACATTCCTAACCTGTGGGCACTGCACCCACTGACCCTGGCTACTGGGCCGTGTACATTGCTTGAACCTGCAAGGATGGCACTCCTGCGGCTGAGATGCCGGAGCAGGTATCCCCAGCTGTGCGGCAGCGGCGGCGCGACGAGCTCGTATCCCTCCAGCAGCGCATCAGCGAGGGCTTTGCACAGTCTCTGGTTGGACGCACCCTGGAGGTACTGGTGGACGCCCTGGGAGAGGACGGCGGCTTCATTGGTCGCACGGAATGGGACGCGCCAGACGGTGCGCTGGATAAGGGGGTGCCCAGGGTGATGCTCGACGGTGAACAGAAATTCGAGGGGCCACATCAGTTCCTGCGCCTCCCTTAAACCGTTTCACCGACCTCAACCTTTCAACCCCGACCCCAAACCCCACACCACCCCTTGACTCGCCCCAGTGGACCCCATCGTGTTCCTCGCTGAGGCAGAGGACCCTGCGGTGCCCCGGTTGGAGTTGGGCCAGGTGCGGCGCTGCCGCGTCGACGGCGCCAGCATCTTTGACCTTGACGCTACTGTGGTCGCATAGCAACCTTGGCGGCCTAGGGGAGGCCACACAGGAAGCCGGGGCAACGTCTAGAACAGAGCCAACACGTTGAGGGGCTGGGATCCGCGTTGGATTAAATCGCGTGACGTGATTTGCTGTAATTCTGCAGGCTCCTTTGCTTCATTATCTTGAGGAAGACTGAAATAGTGATGACGTCTTGCTGTCAGACCATGAGCATGCTGCGCAGCCATGCCATGCAGTCAACACCACATCAGCCTAGCATGATGGCTGCGCAAAACCCCCACACGGCAGAGGTGCAACATTATCACATGGCAGAAACATCACCTGAGCTCCAACAGTCAATTTGATCAGGCCATCTCAGGGGACAACTTGCATCACCAAGCAGCAGCAGTTCATTTGCTCAACGCTGTGATGACAGCTGCCATGCACATGCATGAAGGCTGGCTGTTCGTGCACAGACTTGCCTGGGTGAGTGATGCGGTGACACCAGTGTGCTGCAGGACAGTGGCCTGGTGCACAATGGGCAAACGCACGTGTGCGACGGAGGGACGTCAAGCGTGATTTAGCTTGGCGGCTGTCCGCCCTCACAGAAATGGCCAGTGTAGACCCAGAAGCCTGTAATACAACCAGCTGCAAATGACAACTCCTTCCAAGCACAGTGGGCGCTTGAAAAAACAGGCGTTGTAATTGACATCAGGTTTGTTGCAAGCTACTTGTGAGACTGGACTGTCCATTCACCTTTGGGTGTGTGTCGGACGGCCTGTGAGATGATCGCATACGCTGAGCTGGTTGTTTCATTTTTGCCACTCTGGCAGGTGGGTGCTCGGGAAGGGAAGAGAGATGTCTTACTGCCGCATTTCAAAAACGTGGCATGACTTGCTCATCTGGACTCCAAGCTTTACGAAACAATCAACACACGCGCACGTGCGCTTGTGTCGAGTGTGCCGGCGTGCCCGCGCAATGCCTCTCGCCTGGCTTGCCTTGCCCCCTCCCATCATCCTATGTCTTCACCCCTCACACCCTCACACTTTATCAAGTGATATACCATACACATTTATTTAGTGCAATACTTCACGAATCCACTGTGGATGTCACGTTCGCGAACCTGTGCAGTTGGCAACCATGACCTACTCTGATGCTCCACCTCCTGCCAGCCAGTCAGCCCTATGACGCAGTGTTGACCGGCAGCACTCGTGTCCAAGCCGCCACTGCAGCACGCGCTTGATAACGCCTCAACATTGTTATATCATTGTGGCCGCGTCGCTCGCGTGCGCATATACGCGGTGATCTGTATCAGTCCGCGCTGAAGCCAATCTGAAACCAAATATCCAACAAGCACTTATAATACTTTTCAATCTTACCGTGTGTGCGGAATAGGTCAGGGCAAGGGTCAGGGAGATAGCGGCGGCAGCATCAGCGGGTTCTGCGACGCGCCGCTGCGATGGAGGGAGCACTGGGCAGACCGGCCGCGCTCCCGACCGGCAATGATACGCCTACCAGATCCCTGAGCAGTGGCCAACGCTCGCGCGTGAACAGTGACAGCGCAGCATGCGACCCTGGCGGAGGGGAAGGGGCCACCCTCCATGACCTGCTGCCACGCAGCTCTGGCAGCAGTGGCCACGGTGGGGATGACGACGGCTCAACCGCAGCAGAAAATCACGCAGCGTATCAGAAAGGTCCACAGTCATCGCCCAGGCTGGGTCCGCGGTCACCATCCCGCTTGCGATACACTTACAGCTCTGGTGGACGCACCCTGGTGGCGCCGGAGGCTGAGGCAGATTGTGGCCACCACCACCAGCAGCAGCAGCAGCAGCAGCAGCAGCAGCAGCAGCAGCAGCAGCGGCGGCAACCCCTGCCCCGTTTCATCCATGTTGAGCATGTGGATGGCAGTAACGAGGCGCCTCAGGTGCGGTGCCTGTGCGCATGTGAGAGGTGAAACCAGCATACGGGCGCTTGCTGATGTTGCAGCCTGAGGAATGCATGGGGGCAGTGCTGCTCAACCACAACAACTTGCCAACACCGTGTGTTGTGACCCACCGACTTGCTCAGGAGGAGGTGCAAATTGAGCATGTGGAGGCAGACGAAGCAAGGCGGCAGGCAGAGGTTCAGGCTGGCATCATCCAGCAGGTCTGCAGTTCGCCAACACAGCATGTTCGGTGGTTGATTCCCATCCAATTCCCATGCACCCGCAAAGTATGACCCCTGCACGTGTGTACACAAAGAATTTTCAGACCCATTATCGCCAACCTGTGCGCCACACCCTGGTTTAAGGTTGACGGCCTGGTGGCGTACTTCAATGGGTTGTACGATGAGGACCAGGCTGTCATCCAGCAGCTGGAGGGCGAGGTGGCTGCCAAGATTCAGATAATCAACACACTCAGCTGCCAGGGCCAGGGACTACAAAAAGAGCAGCACCCACACCAGCAGCAAGCAGCCGTACCGCAGACAGGTGTTGGATTGCGCATCAGCGGCATGCAGGCACCACTGCTCAGAGCAGAGGAGCGGCGGCCGCTTGAGGGACACGGAATGGGCTGTTGTGCAGCTTTGAAATCGAGCTGCGTAGCTCGACCCCGCACGTGGCTGTGCTGCGCAGCCGCGACCGTCGCCCTGCTGGCGCTCGTAGTTGGGCTGGCTGCCGGCCTAGCCGGGCATGCAGCACCACGCAGCATCCCTCCGCAATTCGTGTATGCACCAGTTGCGCTCGCCGCTGGCAGCTCGTCCCTGAATCTGCAATTAGCCCTGGACCGGGCAGGGACGTTGCATTATGTTGTCATGCCGGCAGGCCAGCAGCAAAGAGCTTCAGGGGATGCAGGCAGTGTCGTGGGAGCCTCTTATGGTCTGCTAGGGGGCTCAGCGCTCGAGGTGAGATTTCAGGCCCGCGCTCTACATCACGTGCTTGGCGCTGGTGTGCAAGGTCGTCGTGGTACTGCTGGTGCATGCAGCCACATCCTTCACGACCGCACTCCTGCCACACTTACTCTGTTCTCGCTCGGTGCTTTCTTGCAGCAAGTGGCGGTGGCCTGTGGCCAACTGCCGGTCCACCTTGCCAACACCAACCTGACGCTGACAATAGCGAGTCAAGCAGACACCCCCGAGTGCCTGCAGCTGAAGGGTCTTGCTGCCTCTACTGGCGCGGAGGTCAGCTGCAATCGTTGTCCCGCTCTGCAGTCATCTACAGTCTACTCAGTACTGCTCGTGCCCACCAGCGGCTCCGCGGCTGGTAATGTTGTGCGGATTGAGGTGAGCCACGTAGCAGTATCCAAAGTGTTGGGCATTTGGTCACGGCCTAGTGCATTATCAGGATCCTTCAGGTCCCGTACCTTCGCAACCCCCATTCATACTTACTCATTGTCGCTTGCCTGCCAATCTTATGCGCAATGAACAGGCCACAACAGGCGGGCCCTCCGCGTCCTCCGTGCCCATCCTGCGCAGCGACACTGGTGACACCAGTGTGACCAGTGCACGCGTGACCGCTGCAAGCGAGAACGCATTCAACCTGACATTCACACTGGACCGCCCAGGCACCCTTAACTTTCTTGTGCTTTACTCCTCCTTAGTGGCGCGCTACGTTGATACGTATGTTGCATTTGACAACACCGCCCCAACTGACGCAGCGCTGCTGCTGGCCTCAGACCTTGCAGCCTTTTCAGACGGTGTTGTGGCGCGTGGCAGCTGTGCAGTAGCAAATGCGGGGAATGCAACTTCATGTCGAATTGGGCCGGTCATGGCTGGTGACACTTCCGACACATTTGCTTGCAGTCCAGCAGCATCATGCCACGTGCAGAACAACTGCTTTGGGGCTCTGTGTGATTATTCACAGTACGGCATTGTTGCCAACTCCACATACAAGGTGCGGGCTAGCTGCGCTAGGCTGGCACAGGTGTGTGCAGGGACTGGTTGTATGGAAGCATTTCTTGTCCCTGCTGCACGCTCCCTGCGCCCCCTCCCTTATGCTCCATCACAACCACCCCGCAAGAGCACTGATTCCCAAATCCATGCCATGCGCCCACTGCATTGCTCCAGCTGTTGGTGGTGCCGCAGAGCGCAGATGGCAGCACCCTTGGGCAAGCGCGCTTGGTGGGCATATTCCGTACGCCACCGCCTCAAGGCGCACCCCAGGCGTCCGATGACATGCGCGTCAACCCAGTGATTGGGCCAGACCGCTTCAATGTCGATGGCGTGGTGCAAGACCGGCCAGGCTTTGCCTATGTCATCGTGACGCAGCCGGGAGATCAGGGCGCACAGGTGGGTGATCGTTTTGAGTACACACCCCAATGTCCTGCTGACCGCCTGAGAGGTTTCCTTTTCAGGCAAGTTCGCCATCTCGCCAGCTGTACACTGAAGCCATCACATGAACTAATTGCCTAGGTCTCTGCCGGCTCCGCCACTGTCTTTGAACAAACACCTCCGCCGCGGCGGCGAGGGCGGCATCTGCAACAGTCTGGCAACCTCACCGAGCTTCCACCAGAGGGCAGTGTGCTGTCGGCCGGCACAGCATTCCTGCCATCCTGCCCTGTCACCACCCAGTGCAGCACGGCTGCAGCCATCGACTCCTTCGTGACGCTTAGTGTGGAGGCTGTGGTGCACAGCGAGTGCATACCTGTGCCGCGTATCCGCAATGTGGCCAGCGTGGTGGTCAGCTCCCTGGCCAACGACACATTGTACCGTGTGCTGGTGGTGACATCCGACACGACGGGCCACCAGGCAGGCTACTCGGCACTGGTACGAACCCAGGACCTTACGCCTCCAGAGCTCACAGTAGTGGACACGCCGCCACCAGGATTCACTGCATTCCAGCTGGTCGTGGCGCTGGATGAGCAGGGAGTTGTTTTCGCTGGGCTGAGCCTTGCTTCTGACACAACCGGCACCCTCCAGCCTGCTTGCCCTCCGTCATTTTCGGTAAGCTTGGTCAGGGTTTGTCTCCTGGGAGTTTGGGCGCCTAGCATGCCTCCAAGATGTTGCAGACAACCAGCTGCTGGCCTCCTGCCTGAGATGAAGCTCACTGGGCGCACATTATAAGC